AAGACCCTGGGTTCTGTTAAAACCCTCAAATGAAAAGTACAATGTTGCTCAACATGGAACACGAGATTTGATCTCAGGTCCATCCACCCCAGCCACCCCATTCCTGGTGTTTTGAATGTTCTGTAGTTCAAAAACGTATGCCTTCAAAAGAGACTAAATGTTAGCGTTCCAACCCAATGCACCACTTCATTGTTTCCCAACTGCCATAAAACACTAAGCAAAAAAAAAAAACACAAAGGAGGACACTGGGCTGCAAAAACATTGAGATGCCACAATTTACCAGCCCCTATTGCGACATTACTACATTTTACACTGTGGATCAACATAACTGTTGTACATTTTCATGTAAGACTGGGCTGTATCCTTCCTCAAGTCTCTTCTGCTTTCTCCTCCTTTTAATCTTCCTCACTTACCTCCTTCTTTCTTCTATACAGTACTCTTCTTATCACCCCCTCTCTTCCTGTGTTATTCCTCTCTCCCACCGCCCTTGTCTTGTCTTCATCTTTCCTTCTTCCCCTCTCATCCTTTCTATTGCCCTTTACACCTCTTCTCTCTCCCTCGCTTTCATCTCACTCTTATTCCTCTACACCTCCTCCTGTTCTTCCTCTCCTCAGTTTCAGTTGCTAGAGGACTCTCTATTTTACAGCTGAAAGGACACAGACACACTGAGGGAAAGGAAACAGGTGCGGTGACAAAGCTGTGCAGGTGTCTGTGTACTGTTCACCTTCTTTCCACCTCCCTGGCCTCAATGATGTAATTGGAGTGGATAAAATAAAATATAACACAAAACAATTCAGCACCAGCACAAACCTGAATCAACACCTCTCTGAAACAATTCGATCAAATATTCATGAAGAGAAGGTTTTTCTTTTGCATATTTATTTTTTGGGTTCATCATCTCACGGTTTATCTTGTGACATCTTTTGGGTCTAGAGGTCTCAACTCCCAGGGTGTGAACCACAAGTTTAGAGACGTTTTTATTTCTGATTTGCCCTGTTTTATATTTAGTCATAGTGTAGTAAAAAGCCTCTTTGCTTTCCTGTTAGCATCTGTAGTTATTAGATGTCAATGCAAACCAATACCTCCATGTTCATCTGTTGTCTTGATAAATGTAGTATTACGTACATTTCTGCAACACTAATTCCATCAGACTCACGTCTGACCATCACTTTTATTTTCAAATTTATAGTAGCTAATGACTACAGCCATGGATTACTTTAAATTCACATTGTAGAGGTATGAAATAAATATGATTATAGCCTGGTAAAAATATTATGTCTCAGAAATGCCAGCTTTTAAAGAACTCTGACAAACAAACTCTCATACAGTGACACTATGACTCTCTAGCTCAAAAATTGTAGACAGTTTGATATATTGTCCTGATGTTGAATGACTTTAGCAGCAATCTCAGTGGAGATGGTAACTGCATAGTCTACAGCTGTTGGTGAAGCTCTTTTGAAGTCGGAACATGACTCTTCTCACTCCGACATAAATGATGGTGTGCGCCATCAGAGCTGCGGCCACTCTTATGCTGCCACACTGCTGCTGCTGTTGATGTAGCACTTCAAAACCCTCATCTCCACCTCAGCACTGACCTGTAGTCTGAATCTACATGTTCTGAGAGGGGAAGTTATTACCACCACTCTCTACCCCCTGCTGTCCTGAGCTTGGTGATTAGGTTAGAAAGGTAAATTCCAAATATTAATATCTTCATCCATTCAACAGAAGTTGCCTGACCATTGCTCCTAATGTGGTGGCTACTACATCCATACTCCTATTCCAACTGCAAATGTTAATTCTCTTTCAATAGTTACTGCTGATATTAACCTTATTTGGTGAAATTCATTAGTATGTACACTTACAGTACTTAGCCTTTTGTAAAATCTAAAATGGAAAAGTCTTGTTTGTTTGATTCCAGGTCCAGTTTGTATGATTCTGGCTGCTGTACAAAGTGTCCTTTGTTAATATTTATTGGTACCAGTCAATCAATATCACCTAGTAAATTACATGTACTGTGATATTCTTTATTAGTTGAGGTAACAGGGCAGAAACCTAATACAAAACCAATTAAAATGAATCATAAATTTAATAAAATAAATAAATTCCTTAATCTGCTTTGAATAAACTGTTGTCAATAGTGGTGCACATTCAAATACCTAAACCTGTTTTTGTGTTTAAATCCAACACGTTTAATGCACAGGAGTTGTGTATCCGTCTTGCTCACGTGCCACTGCAGAGCTTCTCTAAATTTAGACTCCTAGCCATTATAGCAGCTTGTCTAGAGACGCACTTTGCACTACACAAGGGAAGCTCCGTGATGGATTTTAAAATGGAACAGTTTGGTGTTTTTGCAAACTATAGAAAGCTTTGAACGCATCAGCCCTGCAGTTAAAACAACACAAGCTCAAAGACGACTATTCTGTTTCATGTTTCCTTTGGTAAGAACTACAGCGCAGCTACAGCAAAGGTAACACACTTAATAAATGATTATGTGCTCTAAACGATTTTGAGTTATTGCTACTACAAATAGCACTTGAGGACAACCTGAGAAAGTAATCTTACATATAACAGATTTTACTAATTAGATGACTAGTCATGTTATGTAAAAGAAATATTAGGCAAGATTGGAAAACTGAAGTTTACATTAAGATAACACTAATTCTAAAAAAGGTCAGTTTTGACATGGACACTCCTGGCCAAATGTGGTGTAAAACTAGATCAGCAACACCTCCATTTACATTCTTCCAGACTGGACTTACGTTGGCAGCTGAATCTTCAGGGGGTTTCGTTCCTCCTTCCTCTGGTAAGTCCGGTGCTGTAGGGACCGAGACGGGCAGCAAAGGGGACCGAGCCTTACCGGCCTGACCCAAAGAGGCTGTCTTCACCTGGGGCTTCGGGAGGCTTGCACCTGGGCAAGAGAGGACGAGCATCTGGGTCAGAAAATGACTCGGTGCTTATTATTTCACACCATGCTTTGATTCAGGCATTTAATGTTCTCCTAAATCATTCTGGTTTTCTAGAAGTTATTTAGAGCTAAATTTATTCTCGGATCATCAGGTCACTCACTAGTTCTTTCCCTTGAGCAGTTTCTCAGTTTGTTATGGAAACACTTGTTTCCTGGGAGCTGTGGTTTCATATTGACATCCATGTGAGCATTGAGAGGAACAGTTTGTTACTGATTCAGCTAGATGACAAGTTTGCATGCAACTAAATGAGCCACTGAACTGGAAACACATCTGAAGTCTGAATCCTCCAGCCATCATTTCCCACTTCAAACAAAATAGTAAATGGTATAGATAAGCAAACCAACAAGGGAACAGAGACCAGACAAAAGAGAGAACAAACATCCAAGCATTAGAACTAGTGGATGAATAAGAAAACAAATAAATTTAATTGCTTTGTCTAAAATGCCATTTAGGTAGACAAGTTTAAAGATGCTTCTTTACAACACAAGAAGGAAAGTAAAAGAAAAACAAAATGGATGAAGAAACAATAAACAAAAAAATGGAAGCTTAGTGTTTTCCTTTCTTTGTCTTCTCTGATTCCCCGAACAGCATCCTCATGTCTGAACATACCCTGAGGCTTCTTCTACTTACATTACCCCCCTTCTCTCACTGCACCGCACTCCTTCACTTCCTGATCAATAACATGTATTCTCCTCCCTGAGAAACAAAACACCTGGAACAGCCTTGATAACAGAAAAAGTGTGTTCACCAGTAGTTAAAGTACAAAATCTATTGTCCACAAAACCAAGACAGAAGAACCACAGCTCAATGTGAAAGGCAGCAGACCTAGCCCCTTGATGCATCATTCTCCCTCATCACCCTTAACTACATAAATTATTTAATTTGCAGGTAATGTAATGTGGAATGTAACTACTTGACTTGAATGTTTCCAGTTTGGCCAACATTACACCTCTGCTCCACTAGCTTTTATTACTTACTAAATATGATGCACAGATTGCACTGCCCAACAGTATGCACAATAACACTGCTGCATGTACATTAATGTATCAGTAATAATTATTGCATAATGTAACAGTGTAACAGTTACAGTCAGCACTTGTCTGCATTATGACTAGCCTATTTGCGTTATACTTCTAGTGCATGGTGATAATAATTTCAGTGCATGATAGAGTATTTTTTATAATGCAGTACTACAACTTTCAGGATGTAAATCACTCCTCCAGCAAAGATTGACACACTCCTCCCACAGTGCTGTGGTATAATTTCATTATCTAATGTTATGTTCATCTCATCTTCTCCTTCTGGAAATGCTTCTCTTTCCAGCTCATTACTGGCTCACTTCATGTTTACTATTTTAGATAGTTATATGGTAAATTCCCCTGCCCAGAGTGTATATAAGCCTTCTACAATCCAGTGCTGTAGCTGTGAACATGGGCTGTCTGTCCCAGACTTTAAATATTATTTCTGGGCTTTTGTATTAAGGCCGAGCCGGCATGGTAGTTCAGTGGTTAGCACTGTTGCCTCCCAGAATGAAGGCTCTAGGATCAAACCTTGCGACCAACATCCTGTGTGGAGTTTGCCTGTTCTCCCTGTGCTTGTGTGGGCATGTTGCAGGTACTCCAGCTTCCTCCCACAGTCCAGAGCATGCAGGTTAGGTTAACTGGTGACTATAAATTGCCCATGGGTGTGAATATGACTGTGAATGGTTGTTTGGTTTTATGTGTCAGCCCTGTGATAGACTGGCGACCTGTCCGGTGTACCATAACTCTCGTCAAATGTCAGCTGAGATTGACTCCAGCCCCATCATGACCCTCTACAGGATAAGCGGTATAGATTAAGGACAGATGTATGACTATTGGTGGGAAATAGAAAATGGACAAGAGTCTCCAGAGTCACCCACAACAACCTCTATAAGATGCCTATAACATCACTGCACTTCCTCCTTCGCTTCTGACTCAGAAAAGGCAGCTGCTAGAATTTGTTACCTGGTGCATTGCTCAACTGATGCTGTCATTGTGCTTTTGAGGAGAGCCTTCTCTATCTGAAACACATTCCTGGCTTAATGTTATGCTCATTAATGACCATTTTCTCCTTTGGAGCAATGAATGACCAATCAGGGGTTTGTAGGCTGGACTAAGAATTAAGATGTTGTCGTCCTGTGGAGGTGCCAATAAAAAAGCAAACAATGAAGTATGAAAATAATCAAAATGGCAATTCAGTCTGAATATCAAGCTACAACAATACCAAATTATGATGGTATGAATGACTATGTTGGAAAAAAGTCCCTAAATCACTTTATGGAAATGTTCCTGCAGTGAAGAGGCTGGCTTACAAATGGTTCCAAAATTGAATTACACAGGTAACAACTGTCTTCCTTTTCCCCATACAGGCCCACTGGAAAATCTGTCTTTGAAAATGTGAAAGAGGGTACCAGACAGTTCAAATCAGAAGTCCTTCTTCACATCCAATGAATATGGATCACATTTTTACCCACAAACATTATATAGTAAATGTCTTTTTGATTTCTTTCATACTGCAGAATCATATTCTTTATTTCACTGTAAACTGCATGAAAAAAAGAATGAAAGTCTACCTTAGGATTCCAACTGAGAACAGTAAAAGCAAACCACATACTCCCATTACAGCACTTTCCCCCCTGCAGAGTTAAAGTCTATGTCTGCTGTGGTTTACCTGATATAATTATATACTGCATTATGTGTATGTGATATGCTGTGATTACTGGCATTTATGAAAATGGTAACATTTCCTCTGGCAATACCTCATGGTGATATCTACGTTTTAGTTCTCCAACAACAAATCCTGAATACTAAATGTTTCCGTTTCTTTGATTTTAGCTCATCTGTATGAAAATCATATTGCAGAGACTTAAATTAAGTCATATTGTAGACAACTCTACTGGTTGATGATGCCAATACCATCTTACTTTTTATAATTTAAATCAGTTACTTACAACACACTTGATGTTCTCAGTTGGACCACAAAAAGAATTAGACTGCAGCTGCACTTTGAGATTATTGCTAATATAGTCACATAGCATATTAACATGTTAAATATAAGATGCTATAGGTTTTTTGTTTTACGGCCCTGGTCACACATTTCAGTGAATGATCAGAGTAAATCAGAACAGACTTCATGTAGAGTTCAACACTGGTAACTCTGGCACTCAATTCTTCACTGTCAGCCAATAGCAAAGAGTCACTGACCTTTGAGGGAATGGATGTCAGAGAGTCAAAAATGTAGGAATAGCTGTGCAGCACCCTGCGGTTTTATGTAACTCTGCAATGCTGGAGTATTAACTGCTCCACAAAAGAGCTGCACCACTGTCTGCAGTCAGTTGTCAGACATAATCCATGATACAAATACTTTCACTTGAATTAACTGTATAAACTCTTATCCAGTTAACGCGTGAGCCAGCATGCTACCTGGCAGTTACAGTAGCTCACAAACTAGATAGGTTAAGGGATCCATAGCGTGTGTTTTGTTAGTCATACTAATGTGCAAACATAAGAAGGTGATCAGAACCAGAAGAGAGGCACACCTTTGCTCCTGTTACGTTGATTACATATTTTTCTTTGAAGGAAGGGCATCACATATTGATTTTATAAATTGAGTTTTTGATTTAGGCAAGTTCTCTCTCATGCTCCCCTCAGGACATAAGTTGTACAGTAGTTTTGGCTCCACAAATAATCGAAGAACAACTATATTTTTCATCTATCCAAACTGTCTGGTGTGTAGAGCATCCTAACCTTACAGGAGTGTGAGAGTGGCTCGAGTCTTTCAGTATCTTTCACTCCCAGCATTGTGTGGCTTTGAATCTTTGTATGTCTGTAAATGTGGTGCAGAATTCCCTGCCAGCTTCATTTCAAAATGAAGCAGAACCAAGCGTCTTTGTATGACTTCTCAGCACGGTGCTGTCAGACCAAATTCAGACTTAACCGAAGTCCAGGAAAAAAAAATCCATTTTGTGAAAAACACAATGAGCTGCAGCATTACAGAGCTGAAGCAAAGGTTACACATCCACAGTGGAAAAAAGCCATAAAAGAGAGTTTCACAGTACTAGCCTCACCCTCGGGGGGGTTGTCAGAAAGAGGTGGTGGTGGGTTTGTGGAGAGGGACCAAAGGCTCGTTTGCTCAGAGAAGTGGATATATTTACCAGACAGGCTGGAGTGGAGGTGTGAAACGGCCACTAGGGTTCACATCAGCAGTGTCTGTGTGCTTCTGGATTGAAGGTAAAGATGGAGAGATTAACAGTGATAGGAGGTGAAGATGGAGGGGGCGAGGTTATTGATCTTTAGGACAGTTTGAAATAAATACAGTTAAAGATGAAAAGTGTCTTTGAAGAAACATTGTGTCTCTGGAGGGAGACAGCCTGTATCTCATCCGCTTCCTACAGCAGTGTGATGTTTCTTTGTTAGTCTGTTTTATCTTCTTTTCATTTTGTGTCTGTCTGTCTGCTTGATGTCTATGTGTCTGTGCACTTGTCTTCCTGACCAGTGAGGGAGCAGCAGACTGGCCAAGTAGTTAAGGTATAGTGAACATCTGGAACACAGCTCTCAGTGTTTTCCAAAACTGTATCATCTCAGTCATTACTTGAGCAAAAGCTTTAGTTTGATATACTATACATACAGTAAGTTAAAATAATGATTTACTATCCCATCATCTTGTTTTTTCATCTCATAATTTCAACATGTTCGATAATTTGTAACATATTTCAACCTTTTGATTTACTATTACACTTTGATTTTGTGGGACCTGAATAATAGCAGGACATTCTCTACAAAGCCATGGAAACAGGCCTGATTATAAACTGTGTTTTAGTATGTTATAACCCCTCACTACCCCACCAAGTGTAATGACATATTCAACTCCACCATGTGAATTACTAAGTGCGATGTTTAAAGTTCACTGGGGAAAATACTAT